TTGCTAGGGGTTTCAGTAAAATCCAAATCTGTTTATAATTTTCCATGGTGCCCGTTGCTTTATAATGGATAATGGAGTGCTCTTCTGCTGGGAACTATGTGCCAGTTTATTCTTGGAGATTCCAGTAAGAAATGCAGCTCTTGGATATTTTTATGAGACTTTCAGGGATCACCTTTGTGTTGGGGTAATTCTGGCCACAGGGGGTTTGTGCAGGGGGTCGATCTACCTTACCCTATATGGCCATGTCCTAAAGGTCCTTTCCAGATGGAGGACATTTATTACTTGAAAGGAAATGGAAGCAAATGCTTTCATGAGCAAAATCAGGATAGAGTTCTTAATTTGCCAAAGAGGGATGAAACAACATACAGACCTGATCTTCTAAGATTGATCAGCACAGGAACTCCATGGACCAGAGTGAGGGAGCCTTACTTTTGAGGGCACAAGCCCTGAGAAGGATTCTCATGCAAAACACACTGGCTGAAGGATTTTAACCTTGTCCTGTATTGCATTTTCACTTAGGAAGTACTGAATGCTGTTCACAATTCTAGTTAAGATATTTTTGGCCAGTAAGCGTTTGTGCATTTACCAACGTAAACCACTTCCAAAATCTCTGAAGAAGCAGGTGGAAGGCCACGAAGATGAGAAATACATGAGTTAGTCAATTAAGTGGAGGTCATAAGTGAACCCCTTTTCAAGAGGCATCATCAAACTTTTGTCTGAAAAGAGAAATTTGCAAAGAGGGAAGCAGGTGTCAAATTCCCTTTTGGCAGCTGGGTCTTAAAAGCAATTAGAATGAAAAGCTACCTGCTCTAAAGCTCAAGACACCAGGAGGATCTGCCTTAACAAGTGGAAGAAAACACATATTGATGGGGTTTACAGCTCTCATGCTGTAGGGAGGATGCAGAATGGTGAGGAAATGTGCTGACATGCCTAAATTGTGGCAGGATATAGGACCCTGGCACTGGCAGTGAGGAGGAACTTGAGAATGATTTTTGAGCTCTATATGCAAACAGATGTCTGTCTTCTACAGCGTGCTGTAGAAAAAATAGAGGTTTTGAACCATTAGAAAAGCAAAGGAAGTGCAATAGCCCAGATTTTGATCATAATTACACCCAGGTGGTTCTGAAGTGACTACACCCGTGTCATTGAAGTTACACCAGTGCAAAACTTGTGTGAGAACTGAATCAAGCTCTTTGTTTTCCTGCATTTGTGTAGCAAAAGAGTACTCTAACAGCTCTTAGTAAATAATAAATTAATAATGATATGATGATCTCCCTTATGACTGGATGAAATACAGAGAAATAAGTATCAGAGTAAGAATTTTCTTGCAAGACTCTTTGAATGTGTCATTTGTATTGAGTATAGGATGCTTTGCTGGACTAATTTTAGTTTCTGAACCAATTAAAATTTTTATTTCAAACATCAGAAACATCCAGTGTAGTCAGGTAGTATGTAATGAACAACAGAAAGACTACAACATATAGGTTACAGTTCAAATGAGCAAGACCTTTGGTCTTTGCATGGCAAAGTGCCTTTAAATCCCCAGCAGAAAGTAGTAATGAAAACAACTAATGAAGGCAAGTGCCTTTTCTGTCTCCCTGCTGTAAATCAAATAAGATTTTAGTAGTTGGTTTCGTTTGTGTTTCCCCATTTGTCTCAGAATACACCAGATTGCAATGTTACATCACATTTTTAATGACTGGAACCATGTCCTGAGATCCCCCTCTGACCACACCACAACTTCCTTCTTTCCTTTCTCCTCCTGGCTAGAGGACTGTATGCAATTATGATGAGGACATAATTCAATTAATTATTGACAGAACATGTAATTGCCACTCAGATCTCTCTCTGATAAATCTCTCTGCACTCTCTGACTTCTGTTTGTAGTGCACTAGGGAGGTGGAAAGGCACTAAAAATGCGTTTTAAAGATAGGACGTTTCTCAATCCTTTGTATCAGTCGGGGAGGCTTCTGCCGCCCGGGGCTCTTTAGATGTACAGCGTATTGTTCTCGTCTGTGCTAAACAAGTATCCCCGAGAAAGCTCAGTGGGATGGAGGCTTATGATTCATTTTAAGTGGAGGATATAATAGAAGCAGATAACTTTGATTTGTGCAAAGGAAAAGTGTGATCTCTTTCAGGGATTCCAGGAATTCATAGCAAATTTTTCTTCTGTTGCTGATTAAAGAGAAAGTGATAAATAAGATTTCTGTGTTCGCTTTAAAGGAGGAATGTAGCTTTAGAAAGCTGACTTATTTAGGGAAAAAAAAAATCCTGACCTCATATAGCCTTTGACCAAGATCTGCTAGTAGTAGAGAGTAAAGATGAGGCTGTTTCTGTTATTATTAAAGCCCACAGTGACCATTTCTGTCTGTATGACCGGAAAATGTCCTGGGGGCCAGGCCGGGGTGGGGATGTGCCCGGGTCTTGCCGTAACTTAGGAATTACAACTAAAGCTTGCCAAAAGCGGATAAAGGAAAGAGATAACGAGGTGAGAAAGCAAAGAATGGCTTTATTGTAAAGTCAGGAAAACTAAGCTGTTAAAAAAAAAAAAAGAAAAAAAGAAAAAAAAAAAGAAAAAAGCAATCGCGTACACAGTCTGCCCTTGTAGCCGAGAGAGGAGACCCGCTGCTCCTCTGCCTTTGTTTTATACGGCACGGCGTGCGTGGGGCTGGGAAAGGCGCAGCAGGGCAGGGCCGGGGCCGGGGCCGCGCTGAGAGCCGCGGGCAGCAGGCGGAGCGGGGGCTCTGCTGTCCCGCAGCGGGGCAGGGCGAGCTTCGCGGGGCTCGGGAGCCTCGTGCCAGGGAGGAGCGCTCACTCTCCCTCCTGGGGTGCCGGGAGGGAGCCGAGGCTGATGCGCCCGTGCAGGCGGGAGGCACTGACGGGCGCTGGCCGCGGCTCAGGCACACGCACACACCTTTGCCGTGCCTGGGCGGGCGCGGGGCGATACCGGGGGGAGCGGGGTGATACAGGGGGGAGCGGGGCGATGCCGGGGGGAGCGGTGTGATTCCAGAGGGAGCGGGGCGATACCGGGGGGAGCGGGGCGATGCCGGGGGGAGCGGGGCGATGCCCTGCCGCAGCCTGTCCTACCGGCTCTGCCGCCGAGGCATCCCTCCGCTCCGGGACTTCGCAGTGCTTGCACCCAGCGCCAGGCCAGGGAAGCAAGACCACCTCAGGGTGGGCTCTCGCCCCGCAGCCCCAGCATCAACCGGAGGCACCTGAGCCGGGCGGAACCGGTGCCTTGAGCCTGGTGCCGGGGGATCGGCTCTTGGGGGAAAGGTGAAGAAGGGCTGAAAGGGTTTAGACCCCGTCAGAGCAGGCGCAGTGGCCGGGCGGGTCGGGGAGCCCGGAGCGGGCACCTGAGCCGGATCCTTCGACACCTCAACAGAGCGGGCCCATTTTCAGGGGTGCTGCGGGGGTGAAGGGGAAGGATGAGCAGGGTCGGAGCATCTGGTTTCTCTGTGAGGGACCACTCGGTGCTGCTTTTGTTGCCGGGAGAGGCGGGAGCAGTTACGCGTGATAGTCTAAACCGTGAATGTTGAAAGACTGGAACACTGCAGGTCCAGAGGAGCAAGACAGGGGCTGTAACGCCCTTACAAACAGCTTCCCGCGGGTTCAGTTCAGCACTGCGGGTGCGACTCGGCGCCCAGCTGCGGAGAGTGGCGTCCGCAGCTTGCCCTGCTTTCGGGCCGTGCACCCCTCTCCAAAACTTAGGGGCTCTACAGCTCGGGCGCCTCGTCCCGCTGTTCTCAAGGACGTGGAGGCGTTCAGAGGCGCCACGGGTGGTCCTTAAAGACCCACTGTCTCTGGGCAGCTTTGTACGGCTCCTGCGGAGGTTGCGGGATGCTCTCCACGCCCTGTCTCACCTGTCGGGGTCCAAGGGAGCAAGGTTCGGCACCCCGCGCCCTTTCCAGCGTATCTGCCGGCCCCCCGGGGGTGGGGCTGAGCCTCGCACGGCCGGGCTGGGCGCTGCCCTCCTGCCCGAGCCCCTCAGCCGCGCCTCGCCGCAGGTGCGGTTCGCGCGGCCCCCGGCCGGGCTCCGCTCCGGCACAGCCTGCCCGAGACGAGGTGTCCTTGGCGGGGCGGCTCTCCCGCCCAGGGCAGCTTTCCCCAGCCTGTGTTTTCGGCCGGGACTCACTTGCCTGCGCGGCACCGGTCAGCCCTGCGCCTTCGCCCTCCAGGGCTCAGGGCTCAATCCGGGGTCGCTGAGGGAGCACGCTTCCCCCTGACCGGTCTCCTCCCCCAGGAGCCCCGCAGGTTTGGATTTCGCCATAGGGCCACCCAGTCCTCTCCCTTTCCTGCGGGTCGCGGGCGGTGCGCGCTCCTGCCGCTGCCGAGGCTGAGCCCGCCGCCCCCGAGCCCCCGGCAGCGCATCCACTCCCGCCTGCCCCTCCTCGGCTGCGGGGGGTGCCGCGAGGTAGGCAAAAGGGAAAGTGAACGCAGCGGTCTGAAGATGGAGAAAGGCAGTCAACCTTAGACGTGTAGTTACTCAACCTTTATTATTTAAAAAAATTCATAAAAAAAAGGAAGGTGAACGAACGTCTTACAAAACCCCCCCACATAAATAGGACATTCCGTCCAGCTCTGGCTATTGGCAGTTCTAGTATTTGACAACATCAGACGCGATTTCCTGGCATTAGAGAAACCCATTTCAAAATCGGTCATCACAAAGAAATACTAGAAATCCCAGTTAGCACTTGCTAGGCAGCACGGAGCACTTGTACACAACTTTTCAGACACACACCCGCGCACACACGCAGCCGGGAACAGATCCCGTAGGAAGAGAGCCTCCTTAAAAAATAGTAAACGCTAGGAAAAAAAAAAAAAAAAAAAAAAAAAGGAAAGAAAGAGAGTTATTTACAAAACGCACATGGAAATACAGTATTGACAGAGCGTGGCTGGCAAATCAACATGATTTGAATAGAGAAAGGACTATGGCACGTCTTGCTCGAAAGCTCGCACAGCAGCCTCCTTCGAGTGTCCCCGCGGGAAGACAGCTCCTGCCATCCGCGACGCAGCGCCTTCTCCCTCCCCACCTCTCCTCCCGCCCTCCCTCGCCTCTCCACCCCTGCTCTTCTTGCCAGGTCCTTTTTACACTTGGATGACCACCGTGCTGGGGCTCTGGAGCCGAGTTTTGTACTGGTCTAGCCAGCTCCTCAGCTCCGAGATCTTGTAGCCCTCTGGTCCTCTGCCTCCCTGGTACATCACCTTCTCCTCCTGGATGATGTAGAGCCTCTCGAAGTAGGCACCGTAGGCGGCGCTGGAAGCATTGTCCATGGTGTCCACGGCCAGGGGGCAATCGGGCGCCCCTTCTCTCATCAGCTGAGCTGCCCGCAGCCTGTCCTGGAGGCACTGGTGCTTGGGGATGTTGTAGGCTGCATCCGAGCTGACCCAGCCGTCGGACGGGTGTGCTTCTTCAATGTACACCAGCAGGAAGTCGGCAATGTCCACGAAGTGCGCGGCCAGGCGCTGGAAGGACCTCAGGCGGGCCATGAACGGGGGTCAGGTGCAGCTGCCGAAGTTGAGGATGAGGGGTCTCTTGCCGCGGGCGAAGTCCAGGATGCGGAGCCTCTTCTGCCCGTCCAGCTGGATCACCTCGGGGTTAGGGGCCAAGGAACCCACGTGCGCCGACTTGAAGAAGTCCAGCTTCTGCCCGTGCCACACGGCTTTCAGCGACTCCAGCGTGAACATGCGGTTGGAGTCGGACACGCAGACCGGGGGGTCGTCGGGGGGCGGCTCCTCGCTGGCGCTGGCCGCCTCCTCCGCCGTGGGCATCGTCAGCATCTTCTTCCTAATGCACAGAAAATCCAGGAGCCAGAGCATCACGGCGGTGAGCAGGAAGCGGGGAAATAGGAGGATGCAGGCGGCCGCCTGGGTGAGCAGCTGCAAGGTGTGAACGCCGACGGAGTGGAGCATCGCAGCGGCTTGTGATGCAGGGCGCTGGCTGCCGGGGGGCCCCCACGCACCCTGCGTGCCGGGGTCTGTGCAGCACAGCTGAGATCCCGCTTCTCTTTAAGCCCATTTTATAGTCAGGGATTTAAATGAAAAGTGACTCCACCTCCGTCCAGAACCCGCCCCTCTGGAACTTGAGCCTGGGGATTACCTACCCCTCCACTCTAATGACCTAAAAATACACAGACAAAAGGGGAGAGAGCCCCGGCGGGAGCCGCAAGGGACGTGCAACGGAGCAGGGTGCAGCCGCTATCAGGCGGGGCAGAGAGTCCGACACAGGGCACCGCCGGGGTCCCCGGCCTCAGATAGCGGCGGGCGCTCACGGGCAGCCCCGCCAAGGACAATGCAACAGGCACAGCCCGCCCCACGCCCGGCTGCTCCCGGGCTGTGCGGGCACGGGCCGGGGCCGGAGCGGGGGCCGGGGCCGTCCCGGCAGCTCCTGCAGGTGACAGGCACAGGCCGCCATCGCCGCGTCCCTTCCCGCGCCTTCCTCCCCTCCCCGCCCCGGCAGCCCGGTCGCTCCCTGAGCGCAGCCTCCGCCCCACCGCACGCCCCGGCGCCGCGGGAGCACCCGGGTCTCGAACCCGCTGCCACATCCTCCGGCGGCGGCGGGGCGGGTGGCGGGCGCTGCCCCGGCCCCCCTTTTCCCCCGGGCGCGCGCTGGACGGGCCGGGCCCCGGCGGCGGCGGCGGCCCCGGCGCGGCGGGCACCAGGTGGGCGCGGGCCGGTGGGCGCTGCCCCGGGCGGAGGAGGGGCGCGGGCGGCCGCCAGAGGGAGCTGTTGGCCGAGAAGCCGCGGCGGCGGCGGGAGCGCGGGGCCCCTCAGCCCCAGCGGGGGCGTCCGCGTCCGGCCCCGGCCCCGCCACCTGCCCGGGCCCGCCACCTGCCCCACACGGCACTCGGAGTACGGGGCTGCACCGCGGCCGCTGCGGGGCCGGTGCTGCGGGAAGCGCGACAATGGGTGGGCAGAGGGGGCGGCGGAGGCGACAGGAGGAGAGCGCCGCGCCTGCGATGTCCCGCTGCTCTCTGGCGTCCTGCTGCATCCCCGAGAGCAGCGAGTCAGGGCAGGCAGACGCTCCTTTACGGCGTCCCAGGAGGAGCCGACAGGACTTCTCTGCACCTGTCAAGTGACATACAAACACAAGCTTCCCACCGGACTGGGTCTGGCAAAATCCTTAAACTGAGGGCTCAAGTGTCACTTCACGGGCATGGCCAGGCAGACCAGTGTGCTGTCCCCAGAGTGGACGCGCGAGCTGTTGTGGGCTGGGTGGGTTGTATATTAGTAGCAAAGTGCTCACTGGGCAGGGCTGAACACTGACTGGCCACCTTCAGTCTTCACCCATCAGAAGGAATTTATGGTCTGCAAATTCCTTCCTGCTGAACTAGATGGAGACCTGTCCCAGGAGTACAGAGCTTAAATGTAATTTAGTGTTTCTGCTCAGAACTTTGCCACTCCATTGTTGCAGGGTTCCCAGCTTGCAGCATGCACTTCATTTTCCCACCAGCTTCCTCAGAAAGGAACATTACTTGTCCAAAACGCTGAACACTGCCCTCTGCTATGCAAATGTGGCTCATGCAACCCTGAGCTACTGCTGCAGCTGCCACTCACCCAGGTGCCTGTCACACTGACTTTGGGACATGCAACTCCATGTGCCTGTGGGTTCTGAGTGCTCTGTTTCTGCCTGTTGGCCAGTGACAGGTCTCTGGCTGCAGATTCCCAAAGACCTCGAGGACCTGCAGTTCCCCTAGGCACAGTTTGTGTTCCAAAAGTGACTTTGCATGTCTGTACCTCCCATCTATCCTCTGTGAAATGGAAAAATGAATGCTGAGCCTCCTTATGGGAGGGTAGGCAGCTTGCTTAATTTTTATGTGACTTATTACAAGAACCCTAAATAAAAGGCAAAATTAAAATCCCATTTTATTTTTTTCTTTCTCTGGGTCTGAATAGTCTGATCAGATGGCTCGTTTGTAGTGCCCTGGTAGGTCATATTTAGTTGGAGTCAGCAGCAAGGTAATTCAGCATTTTAACATCTGAGGGGAAACGCATGCTCTAGCCCTCATAAAGCCACGTTCATCCCCTAGCCTGATTAATAACTTCTTTGGCATTCCACGGTGCTCAGTCCAGGGAAAATTACTGAGTAGATATTTACTATATTGTCAAACTTATTTTGAACTATTCATGTGGGCCTCTCACCACCTCTCTGTGCAGTTATGCAATCTTGAAAACCACAAATTAAAGCCTCTAAAGAGACGCAATAACAAATTGTGGTAGCTCTGAAGAAACCCCCAGGAAAAAAAATTGATCTCTCAAAGTGACCTCTTCAAACTATGCTGACAGACAAAAGCCTGAGTAAACAGATGGGTTTGCAACCCTGAATATCAACAAACTTTGCTCTACTAGATCAGTGAGAGATATTCTGAGGTAAAAATGCTATCTGGTCTTATATACTCTATTTGCAGCTGGATAGGGACTTTGGAAATGACTATTTCTCCATTCCCTGCAAACAGCTTTGCTTTGTTTTTATAGCTTGAAGGAAACCTTTGAATTGGGGCTTCCTATTCAGCTGTGGATAGAGCAGAGAACTGAAGCATTTTGCTTCACTAGCCCAGTGCTGCACTTTGCTGCCACAGGAAAATTCAAGCATGTCCCGAGGCCACTGTTTCCAGGTGGAACAAAGGGTGGCTCTGCATGGCCCTACAAGCCATGCTCTGATGGGCTCAGCTGAGGTGCAGTGCTCATGTATTAACTCCGTGGGAAAGGGTAGAATTCCTTCTGCAGCTCCTTGGTTCTCAGAAGGTTTGAAGTGACGTCTTGCTGCTGTTCTCATGTCTGTGTTGAGCTGGATGGTTTTCAAAATCCTGTGTTTTAACTCAGTTGAACCCCCTCTCTACTTCCCCAAGGCTGCACCTCCCAGTTGGAACTTGGATTATTTTTAGGTGTGTGAAGGTAGTCAGTCTTTCTAGGAATCCATATCACTAATATTAATAGTGTGGGAACTTATGTTTTCCTGTATACTGAGGATTTCATAGAATATATCCTAAAATATGGGTTTTACAGTGGCACATCTGGTTATGGGTGGTTTCTACTCTTCTGCATGTGGTCTGTGGTTCAGCAGTCACTAACTTAAAAATACATAAGTTTGTGTGTGTGTGTCCTCGCACAAGTGCACATACATGGTTTACATTATTTCCTTTTTTCTGAGAACTTTATAGCTGTAGTTTTTCTTCATTTGATAAATGTAATTTATAACTCTTTTAAAGCTCTTTTCATAAACAGGAGCTACAAAATAAATTCAGCAACTTATAAAAGCAAAACCTCAAAAAGCTGAAATTAAAACCATCAGGTCTGCTTTGATGTAGAGGATGTGTTGAAACGGTATATTTACATGTTTATTTTCTATTTTATAATTTCCTGCACAAAGGCACGCAATACTTTCTGACAGGAACTGAAATGTATTTTGGAAGAGTTCCACTTCTCATGTCATCTAAGTTCCATGTCATTAATGTGGTAGAACTCTATGTGAAGGAAATGAAAAAGACTTTCCTGAAATAAGAGCTGGACAATTTCTACTCCTCTAAGTGGCTACCTGGTGACTGAAGAGAGGTGCAGTGGTGCAGTGGTAAATTACTCACCTGTTTGGTATCTGTAAGAAGTGGGTAAATATTGCTGAAATTGGTGGTGGATAATCTCCATTTGCAGTTGTTTGCTTGGAGCAACACCTCTGGAAAAGTTACCATATGCTGGAGATTGTGCACGGGTCTGGTGTCTCTGGAGCTGCTTCTTGCTTAATCTTTCACCACTTTTAGATGACACCTGTTCTTATTTTCCTCTCTTCTGTCTTTTTTTTTTTAAATAAAATATATTTGACTCAGAAAAAAACTTACAAATCCAAGCACCTAGGCAATGCCTGAAGTAGGTTTGAGTATGGAAAGAAAAAAAGTGCTGTGCTGCAGATTTTTCTATAAAATCTCTAGTAGAGCCATGGCCTTTGAATCTCCTACCTACCCTGTCACTCTTACCTTCAAATACATGACAAGCATGTCATATATGACAAAAAGGTTCCCTGCACTGAACCTTTCAAAATTTTTCCCCTCACTTTTTGCTGACTCTGGGTTGAATTGGGAAAGAGTTGTTTATTTGGGAGAACTGATTCTACAACCAAATGTCTGTAAATGCAATGTTCACCCTGAGTAAGTGGAAACCAACATTTTCTTGAGCCTGTGAGCCATCTACCAAGGCTTTGCCATGCGACCAAGTGTACAGTTCCCCTGATGTGTTAGTGGGTTTCTGCACCTGCCTCTCCATGGCTGCTCCCTAATGCCCCTGTTGTGCCAGCAACCTGTCAGGCTGGGGTAGAAGCTAGATAACTAAAAGATTCTGGATTAAAAAATTCTGGTTTTAAACCCAGATGGTTTTGGTGAGTGGGTTTACTTTAGAACCCCTAAAATAGTGTAACTTAATAGCATAAATTTCAGTGCAACTTGAATGACAAAAGGTGCAACTGTCCATCCCATTAATTCTTCCTCATTTCTGCTTGCACTGTGTCTTGTGTGATCCTGAAATTATCTGCAGTGATCTGCTTTGGGGACTAAGGAGGCAGAAGAGCTTGGCTTTAGAAAAAAAGAGTTATTTCCTGACAGGTTAGTTCCCTAAACTTGCTAATGATGAAAGGAAATGATCATCTGTGGTGCAGGGGAAGAGAAATGGCTGCAGCTTGTGGCCAAGGCAGGGCTAACAGGACCATCCCATCAGACTTAGCAATATCATCCATCCACCCCTGGGTGGAATTGCATAGTGAGAATGTGTAAGAGTAGAAACAAGTTTCACTGCAGATGTGGATAGTCTCCCTTTGTGTAGTGGAGGAGCATAGGAGATGTACTGGAGGTAACAGTGGCTGTCACAGGGTCCTGCTGGGCAATGTAGCTGGATAGGGTGCACAGATGGCTTCTGGGGGGAGCCAGCAATTTCAACTTCAACAGCAGCTGCTAACACACCTCCATCAGTAGGAAATCAGATTATGCAGAACCC